TGCAGATAGTGCAATCTTGGGTTTCTCATTTCCCGTAAATTTAGCCTCCCGGGATTCCCTGTGTGTAACTTATTTATTTCTAATATAATAATAAGCAGTTTCTGACACAAATTTATACACGCTAATCTATATTACTATTTAAAATAAAGTATTATTTAAAAAAAAAATAAACAATCAATTTAATTGTCACTTCATTGTAAACAAACTTTTCCCATAAATAGACCCGCTGCAGAAAAAGCTCTTTCTGATTTAAATAATGTCGGCTTGATGGTTATTAATGTTGACTATATTCTTTCTAAACTTTCACTACCTTTTTTTAGTTGCCTCAAAAAGTTTCATTTCTTTTGTGAGGTTTTTTAAATTGCAAACATTTAAATTTTTTAAATGTTTGCTAGAGCTGCTTTTTCTACTTAATTGATATTACAAATAGTCGCATCCAATTTTTGTTCAAGTGTCAAAATACTTTTGCCTAATTAATTTGGAGCAACAGGTTAAGTTATTGTCAAGTCAGAAACCATGCTTTCATTATCATGACTCACTTCAACTATTTCATTATTTGATGAACTAGTACTAGCATCTTCTATGTATAACCTGGTATAAATTTTTTTTGCTGTCGCTTTTAATGCATGTTTGGATAGTAAGAGTAGTTTGGAGTTGATATTTGATTCCTGATTATAACTAGTTCAATTAACTTGGCATTTCTGTGCTCTTCAATTCTCTACTGCACAGATTGAAGCAGTTTATTAGCTTTAAAAAATTTTTTCTTCACCAAATCGTGTAAGATAAATATCATTACACCTTCTGCATCAAGTAGAGTAGCATTACTTCTACTAAGTCAGGTTAGCAGAGTAGCATTACTTCAGAGCTTGCTACTTCAGAGTAGCATTACTTCTACTAATGTCAGGTCAGGTTTTCCTGCTACTGGTAACATGTAACCCAGTACAACCTGCTCCATGTCCTGCTGCCTTGTAGGATACGCTTTTTTAGGCAAAGGCTAGGAGAAGTTAACTCCGAATTAAAACACCCCCTGCCTTGGGGCTCTTGGTTGAGTAAAGGCTAGAGATGGTGTCTCGATAAAAATACTCATCTTGGGCAGATGTTACATGCATCCAGCTGCTGTCTTGTAGAAGGCCTCCTAGGCAAAGACTTAAGGGGTAAACAGATTCTATCTGTTGACCAGCCTCGCACCCCTTCCTCATCTATTAGGCTGGCGCAGATGTATTTTTAATACATTGTTTCCAGTTTAGGATGTTGAACGCTGGATCTTCTTGACTCAATGCGTGGGTATTGCTTGTGTCTCTATTTTTATGACTGGGCAACTCATTCTATTATCTCCTAATGAGGGTACAGCTCTAAAACTCAGTTTTATGGTTCTGAGGCCGGCTGGTAGTCAGGTTTCCCGAACTCTGTGGTAGCTCTCAGAGAGGCTGATTCCATCAACAGCCGAAAAATATCAGAGTACTAACAGTGCCATGTTGCGCATGGATGGTGTCCCTGTTTGTACTTTTGGTGTGCATTGCAGAGGCCACATTTGGAGCCCTTTGTTACGGCTTAGGGTTTATTAATAGTAATGAGGCTATTGCTTAGTTGTTAAATAGTGTACTGAGTACTATCTATACTTGAGTCAAGTTCTTTATAAATTTAAAATGACTAAAGTACCTAAAACTAAAAAACACAAAAAACCATCGTCATCACCAAGTTCTCTAAACCTATCATTTACTAATATTCGTGGTCTTCGAAGTAACTTTTCTTCTGTTGAGTCTTATCTCTTGCAAAGTTCACCAGACCTACTTGCTCTTTGTGAAACTAATTTGAGTTCGGCTGTCCCATCTTGTGATCTTAGTGTTGATGGTTATCTTCCTTTAATTCGTAAAGACTCCAATAATCACATGCTTGGCCTGGGCATTTACATTCGTAAGAACTCACCCATTTGTCGTGAAACTAGGTTTGAATCTACAGACTATTCATTTATGTGCTTTCGTTTAGCACAACTTCACTCTATCGCCTTTCTCTTTGTTCTATATCGCTCTCCTTCATCCCAAGATTGCACTATTCTTGATGTTATTTCTGATCAAATTGACCAAGCCCTCTCTCTTTATCCATCGGCCAATATCGTCGTTGTTGGTGACTTCAATGCCCATCACACCGATTGGCTTGGCTCTAGTGTCAGTGACTCTGCTGGCATTATGGCCCTCAACTTTTGCCTTTCTCAATCTCTAACTCAAATAGTCAACTTTCCAACTCGTTTTCCAGACAACCCTAATCATTTACCTTCTCTACTCGACTTATGTCTTGTTTTGGATCCTAGTCAGTGCTCAATCTCTCCACATTCACCCTTAGGTACTTCTGATCACGGTTTGATCTCTCTAAAACTATTATCAAATTCTTCTACTTCATCAGAATCCCCCTATCATCGTACCACATACAACTACCTTAAAGCTGACTGGGACTCTTTCCGTGATTTTCTTCGTGATGGCCCTTGGGTAGAAATCTTTCGTCTTCCTGCTGACAAATGTGCTTCTTACATAACTTCGTGGATTCAGGCTGGCATGGAATCTTTTATTCCCTCTCGACGATTCCAGGTCAAGCCTCACTCTTCTCCTTGGTTTTCCTCACATTGCGCTGCAGCAATTTCTAATCGAAACCGTTACTTCCATATCTATCAGCAAAACAATTCTCCAGAAAACAGACATCTGTTCACTATCGCCAGAAACCATTGTAAAAAGGTTTTGTCTGACGCCAAAGCTCGGTATTCCCAGGTCATTAAATCTCGTATCTCATCACAAAAATTAGGCTCTCGAGACTTCTGGAGAATCTTTAACAGTATCAATAATAAGGGCAAATCTGTTATTCCTTCTCTCTTGTATGGTTCAGACTTTGTCACCTCACCTAAAGACAAAGCTGAATTGTTTGCTAAGAACTTTTCATCAATATCATCTCTTGATTCTACTAGTTGCGTTTTACCTGACATAGCCGTCAAACAGGTTGATCCCTTGCTTGACATTCGCATCACTTCAGCTTCTGTATCTAAAGTAATTTCCTGCTTAGACTCTTCAACAGCTTGTGGTCCTGACAACATTCCTGTTGTAGTTTTGCAGAGGTGTTCTCCGGAGCTTTCATCCATACTTTCTAAACTATTTAACAAGTGCTTATCAGAGTCTTGTTTTCCATCATGCTGGAAAGCAGCATCTGTTATCCCTATTTTCAAAAATTCCGGAGAGCGATCTGATTCATCTAACTACCGTCCCATTAGTCTTCTTCCTGTCATAAGCAAGATTTTTGAATCTTTAATCAACAAACACTTAATCTCTCATCTTGAATCAAATAACTTACTTTCTGATCATCAATATGGATTTCGGTCTTCTCGTTCTACAGCTGATGTGCTAACAGTAATAACCGATAGGTTTTACCGTGCATTAGATAGAGGTGGAGAGGTTAAGGCTATCGCACTTGACATTTCTAAAGCTTTTGATAAAGTTTGGCATGCTGGTCTTCTCCATAAGCTTTCTTCTTATGGTGTAGCTGGTAATGTCTTTAAGATTATTGAGTCCTTTCTTTCCAATCGTAGTATAAAAGTTGTCCTCGATGGACAACACTCTTCTTCACATCCTGTAACTTCAGGGGTTCCTCAAGGTTCAATCCTTGGCCCTATACTCTTTTTAATTTACATTAACGATCTTCCAGACATTCTCACATCTAAGGTGGCATTATTCGCTGACGACACTACCATTTACTCTTGTCATGATAAGAAGCCTACACTCTCTGATTGCTTGGAGGTGGTATCTGAGCTTGAAAAGGATCTCACTTCTGCTACAGCATGGGGCTCACAGTGGCTGGTGAACTTTAATTCAGATAAAACTCAATTTTATTCGGCCAATCGTTATCGTAATAATTTAGATCTTCCTATATTTATGAATGGTAATGTACTAGATGAGTCATCTACCATTCATCTTCTAGGATTAACTTTTACTTCTGATCTTTCTTTTAAACCGTATATCAAATCCATTGCAAAATTAGCATCTGCTAAGGTTGCATCTCTTTATCGAGCTCGACACTTTCTTACTCCAGATTCTATTCTCTATCTCTATAAATCTCAAATCCGTCCCTGTATGGAATACTGTTGCCACATCTGGGGCGGATCTTCTAATGATGCTCTTTCTCTTTTAGACAAGGTGCAAAAACGAATTGTAAACATAGTTGGACCTGCTCTGGCAGCCAATCTCCAACCTTTGTCACATCGTCGTAATGTTGCTTCTCTTTCTCTTTTCTACAAATACTATAATGGGCACTGCTCTAAAGAGCTAGCGTCCCTTGTGCCATCTACTAAAATTCATTCTCGTGTTACTCGCCATTCAATTAAGTCTCATCCTTTTTCTGTGACTGTTCCTAAGTGCTTCAAAAACTTTTATTCTTCTAGTTTTTTTCCTCGAACATCAGTTCTTTGGAATTCGCTTCCTTCATCTTGCTTTCCTGATTCATATAATTTGCAATCTTTTAAGTCATCAGTCAATCGTTATCTTGCTCTACAGATTTAGTCTTTTCTCTTCCAGTAACTTCCAACTCTTATAGTGGTTGCTTGCAGCCTTGTTGGAAGTGAAGATATTAAAAAAAAAAAAAAAAAAAAAAAAAAAAAAAAAGTCTTTCTATTCCAACATTTATCGGTAGCAAAGAAATTGTTATGTCATTCATAATCGCATATTGATCTTCAGAGATATTCAGAACTTCTTTTAAATCGATCATTGCTTTTAGTACACATGTTTTTACTTTAAGGAATCCTTCTAGCAATTTTTCATTGCAACAAGACTATTCCACCTCTTTTTGACATCTAATATCATCTTAAGTTTTTTATGAAACATAGATTTTACATACATTTGTAAAACTTCGTTTTTAAGAGGTGATTTGCGTAACATATGAACTGCTTTTCGAACCTTCTGAATTGTTAAGGATATATTTACGTTATTCAGTTTGTTTTTAACTAGATCAACATTTTTTTTTTGCAGGAAGTGATCCAGCTATTGGAGTCATTCCCAGGTTCCAAAACTGTGTTGATAATTGTAAGTTTACATTTAAATAATGTCGATTTTTTAAAGACGTATATTCGTCTAACAATAAAGAAAATTGCGACCTGCTAGATATTTCTTTTGTTATCTCTAAAACCATAGTTTGTTTAGCTAAATCATATTGTTTTTTTATCATACCCGTAACATGGGATGGATTTTTTGGTAATGACATGCCTTTTTAAGATAATGATTTTCTAATGAATTCACTTTTTGTTATGGCATTTATTGAGAAGCCATCCATCTTTGCTAGCTTTGACTCAATTTCCTCGATAGTCTGCTGTTTAACAAACAATGTGATTTTCTTTTACACAATTTTAATTTCCGAACCAGTATCTTCATGTAGACGCTTCATATTTAAATCCAAATCTTTATGTGCGTTTTTTAAATGACGTAGGAGCCCATATGTTAAAAATCCTTTGCACATTATCTTTACATTGCGCTTTTTGCAAATTGCAGATTCCCCAGATTTTTAAATATTTAAATATTTCAATAATTCAATGCAGAAAAAGTTTAACTTTTCAGTAATTTAGGAATTTAAAAATCAAATTTACTGTTTTTGTTGTAAGAAATCTTTTTTATTTTTTACGAGAGAAAAGAAAACATCGCATTGCAAAGCATTCCTAGAGTTAGATAGTTTAAGATAAGGTATGAACACATAAAACACAACTAAATGCAATAATATTTTTCTTTTTTTTGGTTGAATTAGTTCAAACAGTTATCATATGTAAAATTGAAAAAAATTATATTCCAGGATTTAAGAGTGATATCCCAGGAAAACAGTATCCCGTTTGAGAAACCCTAGTACAATCACAGAGGTTTTTACTTTTGGTTAGGATGGAAAGTACTACTTCTAATGCCGCAAGTGGATGTATATAAAGGGAATGAGGAGTACATCCCACCATGTAGTAATAATACATTTCCATGAGTAATAATACTCTGTTGCATGTGTTGCATATTCCAGTCTCAAAGGATGGATAGTTTAGTAAAAGCAATACTTTCATGAGTATCAAAGCTGTTACTGAAAGTGTTCTTTCTGCTTTTTGACAACTTATACAGCAGCATTTATGGCTAGCATCAAAGTATGTTACTGCAAAATTAGGCATTATATGTTACACTTAATGTTATTTATTTAACTTTTAGAAAGATTAAGAAGCATACTTATATAATATACTTATATTACACTTAGTTATATAGTATATCAATGTTCCCCTTTTTGACCGCCAGGATAAAAGTTGTCACTCAAACAAATTATGGTTTAATATAAACTTAGGACCATAGAAGTTGTTTTCAATTGTTTTTAAAGTCGAAATGACCGTGGCACATTTTTTTTGGCTTTTTTAAAGGACCGAAAAAGTAGTCGGAAATAGGGGCTACACTAGTCTGCATAAGAGTGGGGGCAACCAACCATCAGAGATATTTTAAGAAAAATAAACTATAGTTGGTTGCCTTTTTTAACTATGCATCAAGAGTGGGGGGAATAATAAATCTACCGTCATTTTCAGAGCTGAAATCACAATTTAAAAAAAATATCAGCTTTTATTTCTTCATTATATAAATTGTCATTTTTTTTACCAAATGATAATATAGTCAAACAATAAATATAAAGTTCTATTTTTTCAATTGAAAAAGAAAAAAAATACACACATTAGGTTATTATACTTCCTCCAATATGTTTAACAGCTGCTAAAAGTTTATCGCTATGCTCTGAATGTCCTTCACTTCTTTTATATCTAGACCAGGTTGGTTTAAACTTGGCATGTATTGCTTCATCTCATTGTTCAGCATATCTTCCTAAACTGCATCTATGATTTGACAAATGGAGCTACATGGCACAAAATAATATGAATTTTCCCAGTCAAACTTTTTTACCAAAGATTAAAACTAGCTTTTGTGTAGAGATAAACGAGTTCTTTAACTTAGAAATAGATTCTTCAAATCCAGTTTTTAAAGTGTTACCAAAGCAAACATCTTTAACAGATCTGAAGTTTTTAAGACACTCAACAAAGGGAGTGAGATGATAATAAGTGCTTTTAATGGTAAACTCTAATTCATCAAGATTTTTAATGATAGCATTTGAGTTGTTCCCTTCCCAACCTCTACCTTGGTAACCTCTTTGAAGAATAATATATTCAGTAAGTTAAGTTTTTCAAGAATAAGTCGTAAATAGTAATTTAATTCTGGAACATCTTCTGTGATTCCAAGTTTCTGGCATCTTTGAACTCCACTGGTTTAAAACCTTCCAGAATTTACATTATTCTCTTCAGGATCAAACATATTTACAATAACTTTTTAAAATGAACCCCCTGAGTCTAAAGAAATCCACACAAGAGTACTAAATAGATACATTTTCCTGTGTTCAATTATATTTAAAAAAAAATTTGATGTTTCTTGGACAAATACAACATCTCTACGAAGAACAGATTCATTTGGTCCCAAGAACCCAATCTAAATAACAAATGTTATTTAAAAATATATATTTTCTTTGTTATTTTGTAATTAGTCAATACTTATATTCTACATTACTTTTCAACTTCATAAAATTTTGAAATGGATTCTTCAATTTCATTTAGTTTTTCAAAGATATTTGATTCAATGGATGATCTTATATCAATATTTTTTCTTAGAACTGCTATCATATCTTTTGTTTTATTTAGTGAGAGTTCTAAAACAAATTGAAATTCTTGTACAATTTGAACAGATCATTGTCTGATAGATTGCCTAGCAGTTTTGTATTCAGGTGTACCAACCTTTACAGTTGGTGGTTTTACTCTTGTTGATATATAAAAGTTAGATCCCTTTGCTATTTTTTCAGTTTCTGTTTTTCTCTTAAGAATTAATTATGCTGCAACTTGTTCAGCTTGAAGATAACCAAAATTAAAAGCTAAACTTATAAGGTTGGAAACAGCAGTTTCTTTCCCACTCTAGTGATGTAACCCTGCTCCAATGCTAAAAAAACAGTCTGAACATAAAATCATTTTAGTTTTGATTTTGGTTTCTGGCTCAGGTTTATTTTAAACATTCATCCTGCCAGCCTTTTTCGTCCAATCAATCTTGAAAATATAATTTATATAAATATTAACATATTCGTTTAAACATATAAGTTCAAAATTAATTCATTAAACTAATTTGATGTACCATTATTCTTAAAAACTAATATTATTCCAAAAAAATTAGTTATAAATATAAATTAAATTAGAAAAAATGGAAACAGAATAAAAATTCTAAGATTAGGTATTACAAATATACCTCTATTTCATAACTTTATTAAAAAAAAAGAATTGAATAAATTTTATCTTTACCTTAGATATCTTTTCTCCCCAAACCATTCTTGGATTTTTCCGGTCTTGAGTAAATACAGATTTCTACAACAACTTAAACATATGTTTGTTGGAAAATCTTCTATTAGTTTTGAATATTCATGAAACACATATAATTTCATCAACTCTTCCATTGTGTTATTTACATAATGTAGAGATTTTGAATTTATTCCAAATTGCTCCCAACAACAATAACAAACTTGTTGTAGACACACTGATGGAGTTGACATTATTATAAATATATAAAGTAGATATTTTTTTATATCTAAAGATTTATTTTCAATTAAATAAGGATAGCATTTTATATAAGGATATATAAAGATAGTCATGCATTGCATATAATATATAGCATATGTATAATGTATTATATATATATACTTAAATAAAAACATAAAATAATTCATTTATAAAAAAAAGATATTAAAAAATACATGAGATAAATAAAAATAGAAATTTGCAGAAACTTAAGAAAGATATCTTTCTCGAACTTTGATCTATAAAATTTTTCAATCATTTTTATCTTAGTTTTAGATTAAAATAACATAAAATGTAAATACTCTAACAAAAATTTTATAAAACAAAACCTTTTTTCAGAACACTTTGTACCAAGTGGCGCAAAGTAATAATATTTAAAAATGGCGCAAATAATGAACTTCAAAAATGGTAAGAAATCGAGTGTAATTGTCATACATTTAAATTTATATTGAATTTTTTTGTCTGTTTAATAGTCAAAATGATTTTTTTTTTACTTTTATCATTAGATTTAAATAAAATCTTTCACATTGTGTAAAGGAAAACTCATAGAAAAAAAACAAAAAAACATAAAAAATTAGTTAAAACAAGAAAAAATCACTTTAAAAAGTTTAAGACAGCTATGTGCCATGGTCATTTTGATTTTAAAAACAATTGGAAACAACTTCTATGGTTGTTCCTAAGTGTTATATTAAACCATAATTTGTTTGAGTGACACAACTTTTATCCTGGCGGTCAAAAAGGGGAACAGTGATATATGATAAGGGTGTGTCAAATTTTTTTTTTTTAATTTAAATAGACAGGGTTGCTTTTGTTGAAGAATTTTATGGGGATTCATAATTTTGTTTAATATTAATATAAAAATATACTACATATGTGGAAGGACGAGGATGGCAATGCAAATGATTTTTTCATATAAAAAAAAAATATTTCGCTCCTTTAATCAGGAAATACTCCGTTTCTTTCATAAGGATAAAAAACTTGTTTTAAATTCAAATGTCTTGACAAATACATTGCTAAATATTGTAACTCTCTGTAAAACTAAAGAGTAGAAAATAAAATATAGCAAAAATATTTGCTAAAAAATATAGTCTTTTTTTTTACTAAAAAGTAGAAAAAAGACTTTTTTGTACTAAAAAGTAGAAAAAAGACTTTTTTGTACTAAAAAGTAGAAAAAAGACTTTTTTGTACTAAAAAGTAGAAAGTACCTTTTAAGTTAAATTCAATAGTTCAGTAAACTAAAGATTGACAGGTATGCTTCTATATAAATCTTGTGCAGACCTATCAATCTTTAGTTTACTGAACTATTAAATATAAATTAAAAGGTTTATTTTCTACATTTTTAGTACAAAAAAGGTTATACTTTTTAGCAAATGTTTTTGCAATATTTTATTCATATTTTAGACAGTGAATGTTTTCATAGCG